CTTATGAAAAAAGGAAATCTGGGTTAATTTGGTGCTGGAAGATAGCAACAGAAAAAGTGAATGTTCTAGAACATTCAACCAGGGTATTTTAATGTAAGTATCAAACAATTGCAGTGTTACTTTATTCCAGAAATAGTTTCAAGGTCTGTAATTGACATGGTTAATTCTTTCCTTTGAATCTTTCTGAGCTCAGTCTTTTGATAAATGTAACTTTGGCATATAGGAAGAATTTTGGTTTGCTGTTTCAGTTTTCTTAATAACTAATACTCATTGCTTTCTTTATTTTCTCAGGTACCTTAGGAATGTCCGACAGAGACAGCTATTTTTATGCTGCCATAGTTGCTGTAGTTACTGTTCACGTGGTACTTGCTCTCTTTGTATATGTAGCGTGGAATGAGGGTTCTCGACAGTGGCGGGAAGGCAAACAGGACTAGAACAAAGATCATCATTATCATCTGATGCCTACAGACTGTAAATCAAATTTTTGTGAGCTTGAAGGAAAACTGTTCTTCAAAATGTATAATACCCATGTACAAAGATGAGGTTGATGCCTCAACTCTGCTTAAGAAATAAGACTTGTGCTCATCTTGAATGTGTACCAGTGTTTTCTCTAATGCTGATGGAGGTTGTTCTTTAGCCAGCCTCTATTAGGTTGAGCTGAGGAGGTCTTCACATGGAATTAGAATGAAACAATTACATATGTTTGAAAAAATCCTGTAGCTGTTTTTGCCATTCCTAGTATTTTTCTGGCTTGCTCTGAAAATAATACTGGCATGAAGCAAGCATTACACTTTTGAGTAATTAAACTGCTAGTTAAAATATTAAATTATTAATGTTTCCAGTACAGAACCAAACCACAGCCCCATACTGGCTACTGTGAAGAAAATTAACTCTACCCCAGCCAAGACTGGCACAGCAGGACAGACATAAATAATATATTTCTGAGGTTATAAGTAATTGCAAAACCAGATTTGGTTAGAAACTCAGGTGATGTCTCTAACGTGAAATACAAAGGGTTTTTTTGTTTTCAAATGTAATTTTTTTATTACAGTGTAAAATGCAATCTTTAGTTTCCTTTTGGGAGGATTATTGTATTACTGCATTGCTCATATTTCCACTTTTCTATAGTTAATCCTGATGATGCAAAGGAAATGGCATAGCCTGTTTTTTTAGATGTCTTTTCATTTATGTATCTCCTTTGATAATATCTAAAGGATGTAGTTGGGTTTTCTGCAGTAGTATCAGTAACAGCCATAAGCCAGTCTAGTGGCTAGTAGAGAAACAAGCAAGAGAAAACAAGCTGTAGCCATCCTCAAACATCCTTTATGAAGCAAACACAAGAGTGATCACATGGAAAATTTGCTTCTCTTCAGAAATATTAACTTGTACACTGTGAAATGATACACTATGTTGATTGGTTTTTTTTCCTTGGTTGTGTGTAGAAAATGGCTGTAGCTAAGGCACAGTGACATTTTTGTGTTGTAGGATAACCTGGATTTCATTGCACTGTTGTGCTGTTGTTAGCAAGCTTTTTGGTCTGTAGATAAAACATTTTCCTAAGGTTCCAGCAATGCATAGAACTTTCCTAACGCTGATGATTGCTCTTAGGCCGTTGTTCTTGAGGTCGTTCTGTTGAGTTTTCCTGTTTGCTGTATTAGTTGAGCCTTTTTAGGAAGTGTTTTGCTTAATATAGGGCTTGGAATGGTTTTGGTGCTGCATTTGTCCATGGTAAAACTTATCCATAAAGGAGACAAAAATCAGTTATCCATGCCTAGTGGCTTGAGGAATGTGTTCCCAGATCTTACTCCTCTCATCTCCATCCTGGTCCCAGGTGTGCACAGGCATATATACTATATTACACTAATGCAAATCAGTTTTTTGCGTTTTGTTTCTGAAGCGTTAACTTTTCTCCTCCGGAAGCCCATTGTTAGGTTGCTGCCAGCAAACTGGTGAACGGTCTCATAGTACTTGAAATACAAATATAGTTTGTACGTTGGCATATTGGCTTCCTGTTTTCCAGTCTATGGACTGTACATTGTAGAACAAATACTGCCTTTTAATAAAGAATTACACTGCAATACAAGATCTGGTAAACAAGCATGTGTGCTGAACAGTTTTTTGGATAATCTCTTCAATATTGCTCATGTATAGTACAGCTTACAACAAAGCGATCAGCTATAGCACTGTACAGTGGCTTTTTTTACTCCATTTGTAGTGGAGAATAAATGGACAAGGCTGTCATGCTTTAATAGCTGGGTCTTGTGCTATATCTATTTTATGTTTCATGTACCAGAATCCCTAGATACTAACTTAATTTCCTAGGAATAATGGGGAATTGCTCATTATAATCATTTAGTTACAAAAATCTGAAGTCTGACCTGTGCTATAAGTATAGGCACTATAATGTCTCAGCATTTGGGGGTAATGAACTGAACTTTAATCCATCCGTTGGAACATCTTTGAAGATAATGCTTTGATCCACAATTGTGTTCTTGAACAAAGAGGTGAGTGTCTGCACTTTTAACAGTCATGTACTGGGGTTTGTGTTGCCTGTGCTTGGGAGTTGAAACAACCACTCTGGTAAATGGTGCAATAAAAACAGTCAAGCAGTAGAATTACACCATGATTAGGAAGAACAAGAAACTGCAGCCATACAATGTAGAGTCTACATGGAGTAGATACCCTGCTGGGGCTTCTGTTGTGCTTTACCAATACTGAGGTTTGTTGTATTTCAAGAGCTTTGTTGTGGTCTCTCTAGGTTGAGTTTCCATTCATGTATCTGATGTTCCTGCTAATGTCAAAGCTAATTTTCATGTTAATTTTTTGTTTAATGGCCATTGCGATTGTTTTATTTAAATAATACTGTACTGTATTGGGTTTGCCTGGCAAGGTTTTGGTAGTGGGGGGCTACAGGGGTGGCTTCTGTGAGAAGATGCTGGAAGCTTCCCCCATGTCTGACAGAGTCAATGCCGGCCGGCTCTAGGATGGACCCGCCGTTGGCCAAGGCCATCAGTGATGGTGGCAGTAAATCTGGGATGACAGATTTAAGAAGGAGAAAAAACTTAAAGGCAACACCAGCTGGGAGAGAGGAGTGAGAATATGTGAGAGAACCAGCCCTGCAGAGCCCAAGTGAGTGCAGGAGGAGGGGCAGGAGGTGCTCCAGGCCGGGGCAGAGGTTCCCCTGCAGCCCGTGGGGCAGCCCATGGGGAGGCAGCTGTGCCCTGCGCCCGGGGAGCTCCACGGGGGAGCAGACACCCACCTGCAGCCCGGGGGGGTTAATGGGGGTGCAGTCTGTTGCCCACCCCAGCAGTGGAGACCCATGCTGGAGCAGTCTGTGAAGAGCTGCAGCCTGTGTGTGGGAAGAACTCAGATTGGAGAAGTTCCTGGAGGGAATGACCCCATGCTGGAGCAGGGGAAGAGTGTGAGGGGGCTTCACCTGAGGAGGAAGGAGCGGCAGAGACAGCGGGTGATGAACTGACCACAACCCCCATTGCCCATCCCCCTGTGCTGCTGGGGGGAGGAGGGTGGGAAATCGGGAGTGAAGTTGAGGCTGGGAAGAAGGGAGGGGTGGGTGCGTGGGAGGTGTGTTAAAATTTAGGTTTTACTGCTTATTACCCTGTGCTAATTTGATTGGTAATAAAACTAATTTCTGCAAGTCAAGTCTGTTTTGTCCACGATGTTAATTGCTGGGTGATCTCCCTGTCAGGCCTTTCATTATATTCTCCCCTGTGCAGCTGAGGAGGGGAGTGGTGGAACAGCTTTGGTGGGCACCTGATGTCCAGCCAGGGTCAACCCACCACATGTACAAATCGGGAAAATGATAAAAAATTGTGGAGAGATCAGTATTGTTGCTTTGATTTTTATTTTCTATAAAATGATGATGTAAAATTTTTTATGGTACTTTAAAGTGCTACTAAGTTTGTTCATTTAATTACTAGGAATGGATTTGAGACAACTGTTGTTTAAAAGGCAAAACTGGGAAAGCTTGGTCTGCATAAGCCATTCGGTACTTCAACCTGGCCTCTCACTTAGTGGCCTGTCGTGTGTTTGTATAGGTTGGCAATCGGGCTGTTCAGCTAAGGCAAGCAATTGTACCTAGCAGTGAGCAAGTATCTTGAGACTGAGATCATAGCAGAAATTTTCTGGAATGTTTTCCAAGACTATAAATAGTAAAGGCGGTGGGGGGAATTGAGAGTGAAAAATCAGTGACTTCTCAAAATCAGTTTTATTCCTCTGTACTTCTTCTCACCTCTGTTTTTTTTTAAATGTCTGCAGAACCATGTAGTGGGTGCCCAGCCTGTGAAAGGTGATCAGCTCTGGTTTGTGGTGAGGGATGCCTGACTTCACTCATTTATTAACTGCTAGCACTGAGTAGGAAGTCTTCAGAGAAAATGGTGATGTTGGTGATCATGTTGTTAACGGGAATTTTTTTATCATACCCTAACACTAATTAATGTACATGAACTTTCAACAGTCTTTACAGTATATTTGAAACAAAACAAAATACTACCTACCTGGGGTTTGCTATGTAAAACAGGGCCTAGTAATACCTCTGATTTAACATTAAAAAAACCCAAAAAAACAAACCAGCTGCCCCAAAACCCCAACCTCCTGTGTAATTTTCACAGTGATGGTTGTTGGACACGAATCAAACTGATAGGAAATTAAGGGATATAATGTTGGCATGCTGCTAATGCCACATTACAAACTAGAGGGCAGGCTTTTCTGCCTGATCGCTGTGATGGGAGGGGAAGTTGTGGTGCTGGCTGAAAAATTATGTTGTCATTTAGTGCGTTGGTGAACAATAAAATGTTTGATGTAACTGCAGTTTTGGTGGTTTCAGACTGCTGCACGGTTCTCGTAGTTAAATCAGCTGTGCTTCAGTTTCTGATAGCCCGCACGGTTGGACAGGGTATGCTCAAAGCCTCCAGGCAGGGGTATTGTTGCTAATAGATCAGATGAGTAAGAGGTGGGAAAGGAGAGGGCCCTTAAAACAGTGAACTAAGCCACACATGTATTATTATTACAAAATAACATAATATGGGCATGACTGAAATTTAGGTAGGCTGCAGCTCAAGGGACAAGGGGAGGAAGGGGTCCTGTGAAGCAAAAGAGTGACTTGAGGTGGTGGGGTAGAGATGGGGTAGGGTGAGGGCTGAAATGTGCTGGCACAGCTTGGTATACGATGACTGAGGCACCATATGTTTTTGTTCAGAAGTGTTTATTACACTGTTCTCCAGGGGATTATGCAAAGCCGTTGATCTGAAATATTAAATGTAAATCATACAAAATAGCAAGCCAATTCCATTTTTAACTTCCAATTAAAGTTGTTCGTAGGTTGAGAGCTTTGCAGTGTGTGATCTGGGACACATTTATTCAGCTTTGTCTTGTACAAAATAGTATTGTTACTGTCTCTGAGTCATCTCTTAGGGCAGGGTCAAGCCCTTGGAGTTTAAATATTTCTTTTAAAATACCAAAGAGCGACTGCCACTCTAATGTTTCATTAGCTCTAATCAACTGTCAGTTTAAAGGAGACACACAATCTTCTTATTTCAAGTTCACAAGAAGCAGTACTGCTGCAAGTGGAGGTTCTTTTGTGCTTGAATGGGGCTTGTAACAAGGAAATACTGTGTAGTTTGGGGCCCTGACAGTCAGTCTCTTATCTGAAGACATGATAATGTCTGAATGTCTGAGATACAGCTTGAATCTCTTTGTCAGGAGGACTGAATCACAATGTTGTGTATCACTGCTTAGATACAGTTTAAGGCAAGAGACAGAGGTAAACTCTTGGCACTTGAGTGTTTTTTGAACCTAAAATGCTAAGAAAAATGTATGGGGGAAGTGAATGGCAATTTCTGTAGAAAGCAGCTTTTTAGGTGCTGGTCTTCCAGTTTGCGTTCTGAAACCAAGAGACAGAGCCAGTGGTGGTCCTGTTTCTGAAGGCAAGGATGCTGACTGGGAAGCTTTGTGGTGAAGGATCATGAGGGGGAAGAGCTTAGCAAGTCCAGCAGTTAACTTGGTGACTTCCCAGCTGAATGCCTGGGACTGAATTTTCTTGGTTTGCTATTGTGTTTTACAATCCTCTTTGTTCTACTGGCTCTGGATGGCACATTCCTGCCAAGATGATTCCCTGTGGGTGCCCGGTGTTTCTAGGAGTGGTCGGGTGCTTACTTGGAACTGTGCTTTTACAATAGCACAAACCGCTTATAGGCCTGGAAAAAAGCTGTTGGTGCTTATAGTTGGCACATGACACTGTGGTTTAATAGTTTTAGTGTAAATAGGCCAGAGTGTAGGCACAGGAGGTTTGTTATTAATTAAAACGTTTTTTAATTGAAGAGTGATTTATGAGTGAGAGTAATGGCAGTCAGTTAAAACACAAAACCTGCTGTGGGTGTGGGACCATGCTGCAGGCACCACTGAGGAGCTGTTTAATACCTTTGCAGTTTTTCATCCTCAAGATGCAGAGTTTCTCTTAAATTGCTTAACTCAATAATATGGCTCTGCTGATGTTGGAGATCAACTGGAAGTACCAAAGTTTAGCTCCACAGCTGGAATGCTCCATACAGCTCATTTCAAGGGAATGGTGGTTTTGTGTCTGATAGAGAAGACAGAAGAACCCACTTTGCTCTCAAACCTTATTGCAGTTTGAGCCCTTTCCTAGAACAAATTCCTATAGAATTAGCAAATGTTGGATTATTCTTAATTTGAAGCATTGTGATAGAGCAGTTTCCTTTAGAATCATAGAATGCTTTGGGTTGGAAGGGACCATAAAAGATTCAACCCCCTGCAAGGGCAGGCACACCTTCCACTAGCCCAGGTTGCTCCAAGCCCCGTCCAACCTGGCCTTGAACCCTTCCAGGGAGGGGGCAGCCACAGCTTCTCTGGGCAACCTGTGCCAGGGCCTCACCACCCTCAGAGGGAAGAATTTCTTCCTTATATCTAATCTAAATCTGCCCTCTTTTGTTTTAAAGCCATTAGCCCTTGTCCTATCCCTGCACCCCATGATGATGAGTCCCTCCCCCCTTTCCTGTAGCCCCCTTTAAGTACTGGAAGGTCACTCTAAGGTCTCCCTGGAGCCTTCTCTTCTCCAGCTGAACACCCCCAACTCTCTCAGCCTGTCCTCATAAGAGAGGTGCTTCAGCCCCCTGATCATCTTTGTGGTCTTCTCTGGACCCACTCAACAACACTGGTCCCAATACCAAGCCCTGAGGAACACCA